TTCCGATCCAACCTCTCCTTTAGAACTACCGCAAGCCTTCGCCTTGCCTCGACTCCTCTTAAGGCGAATGGAATGGGGTGCTTTGTGGCAGAAATGAGTAGTAAATTTAAAGTGGCTTATTTGAAATATTTATGATTTGAATGGTTAATTTGTTATTTATGAATTTTTTTGTGGTGTGTTAGTAAAAATCTACCTGTTAATTAACATAAAATTTATCCTACCATATTCCTCATTTTTTAAATCCAAATTTCACGTCATTAATGTTTTTTAATTTTGTTTTTGAAGAATTTTAAAACTCGAGTGACTTCACAAATTTAAAGTAAAAATAAAAATATTTTCTTACAGTGATAACATTCCTGATGATGTGATAAAATAGTGATGACAATTAATTTTTTTAATTATTTTTTAATATCAATTTAAAATAATTAATTTTTAGAAAATATCTTAACAATTTGGCCTTTTATCATAGGAGAGAAAGAGCCATATTGGCCGAATTTTAACGGGGAAAGTTCGGCGAAAAGTATACATTGCTTGAAGAAAGCGCCTCCACCATAGCATTATTCTTGTCGTTTGCTTCTCCATGGCCCCTCGGAGCAATGATTAATTTTTTTTCATAATATTAAGTAATTTTTTCATAATATTTCTGAACTTTCAGTCCTCCTCCAGTACCAGACAAGCTCCCAATGGATCCGATGCTGCTTGCTGCGCTTTTCTTGATTCCTCTGTTCTTCCTGCTTGTAGAACAGAGTAAACGGAAATCAATCTCAAAGAAGACACCTCATCCTCCATCACCGAGTAAGCTTCCTTTTATCGGTAATCTCCATCAACTGGGCCTGTTACCCCATCGTTCTCTTTTCGAGCTTTCAAAGAAGTATGGACCACTCATGCTTCTCCATCTAGGCAGCATACCCACTCTTGTAGTCTCATCACCTTCTTCTGCTCAAGAGATCTTGAGAACTCATGATCTCGTATTTGCAAGCCGGCCTTCACTTAAGGCTTCAAGGATTTTGCTGTACAACAATAACGATATGGCCTTCGCCCCTTATGGAGAATATTGGAGACAGATCCGTAAGTTATGTGTCACCAACCTCCTGAGCCTAAAAATGATAAAGTCCTTTAGTCTAGTCCGTATGGAAGAGGTGTCATTAATGATCGAGGGAATTTCTCGCAAAGCTTCAACCAATAATGGGGTTGTATGCATGTCTGAGATCCTGAATTCTTTGACATGCGACGTCCTATGCAAATCTCTTTTCGGATCATCGGTAATTTTAGAGAAGCGGAAGCTTCTTTGTGAGCTTATTCGTAAGAACGTTGCTTTCTTTCAAGAAGCGTCCCTCGAGGACTACTTCCCCAGGTTGAGATGGCTTGATGTGCTCTTTGGATTGGAAGGCCGGCTTAGACGACATTCTGAGAAATGGGATGCTCTTCTTGGGGACCTTATTCAAGACCATATTCGTCAGTTGAATGAAGGGCAGAGCACAAGCAGTACAGATTTCATTGATGTGATGCTTCAGCTGCAAAAAAATTCAGGATTGGAGTTCGTTCTCACAAATGAACAGATTAAGGCAATTTTAATGGTATTTATTTTTTCACTTCGATTTTTTTAATGCAAAAACTGCTAATGATAAAGAAACTGGAATTTAATGCATCCTTATTTTTCATTTGACAAAGGTTGTCACCTTTTTTTTGTTTATCTAATAAATTTTTTTTGTTACAGACCCCAGATAGATTTTATATATAAAGTCTCAATATAAAAAGTAAAACTTGTATCTTATGACAAAATGAAGACCTAACATCACTTTGCACTTCAAAAGGATATGATTGCTGCAGGAACAGACACGTCCTTTGCCGTTCTTGAGTGGAGCATGGCTGAACTCATTCGAAACCCAAATGTCATGGCAAAGGTGCAGAATGAAGTGAGAGAAATAGCACATGGAAAGGAAATAGTCGGGGAGGAACTCTTGGATAAACTGAACTACATGAGGGCTGTCATAAAGGAAGTTCTTCGTCTGCATCCATCTGCTCCATTACTTCTCCCTCATGAGTCATTGCACGATTGCCAAATTCAAGGATATCACATTTCTAAGGAGACCAGAGTCCTTATCAATGCATGGGCAATTGGAAGAGATGAAGTTTATTGGAAAGAAGCACAAGATTTTAAACCCGAGAGATTCTTGAGCAGTGATGTGGACTATAAAGGTAATGATTTTCACTACATTCCATTTGGTTCTGGTCGCAGAATTTGCCCTGGAATGCAGTTTGCAGTCGCTATTATTGAGATTTCTTTGGCAAATCTCTTGCATCGCTTCAATTGGACACTGCCTAGTGGCATCTCTTATGAGAGCTTAGATATGCAAGAGGCGGCCGGAATAACAACTCCAAGAAAAGAGAAGCTTGAATTGGTTCCACTAGCAGTAAAAATATTTTGAAAATCTATCACTTTTCTTGTTATTGTTGCAAATAATGCATTTTAAGCGCCACAGCTTAAATATCTAATGTTATTCATGGTAAGGATGATAGTTCGAGCCTCTTATGCCATTTCAAATAAATGTATAATAAACAATTAAGAGGGAATGAAAGTGGGCTAGAGGTCTACCTTTGGTTTGATTTGGTTTGCCCTCTGATGCATGAAAATAAGCAGACAAAAAGTATTGAAATGTTTTAAGGTTTAAATGTTTCTTTTACTTGAAATTGGTCATTGTCGAACTTAGTCTATAAAATTGACTAAGGTTAGAGAGAATTTGATTTCACTCAAGGAGGAATTTATGGTGAAGGCTGCCATGTGATATGTGCTCTATATAATATCACATTTTGGGCTTCTAAAAATAACATCATTTTCACCTTAAAAATATTTGTACATGTCAAATTGTTAGCCATTATGTATGTTGAAGATTGTTGCATATTTTTGAGTATTTCATGAATTGATAGAAGTTTAAGATATTCTTTTCATACATTATAATTATTATGGCAAATAATATAATTTGAATTTTTTTGATATGAATAGAGTTATTGTATTAATCATGCAACAAGCTTTTGAAGTTATCAACATATGACAGAACTTTCCTTCTCATGATTATGATAAGAACATGGATTTATTGTGCATACCTAGCCAGCTTGCTTAAACTAAAAATACTTAGGCCATCAGTAGTGGTTAAATAATGCTAGACATTACTATCTACTATGAGATCTCTTGGATTATTGATGTCAATATAACGAATTATTATCAATGATCTCGCAACAATATCTGGTGTGAAAAAAATAGCTGGTGCTATTGAAGTTGAAATAAATAATTTCAAAAAAGAAAAAAATCAACATGAATATTACCAAAAAAAATATAGAGAAAATATCTTATAATTTTAAAAATAAGCTATTATTTCACTAGATAATGATTTAGAAAGTAATGATTTATAAAATCAAATCATATCGAAGAAATATAAAAGTTTAGTTGTTTGACTTTCTAAAATTAAATTTTATGATGATGAGTTTGCATAATTATGATTGAAGGTATTTCGTGTGTAACATTGAATTAAGCAAGCCCAAGGAAAAGTCAGTGATAAGTTTAATGAGTGGAAAGTTTTGCATTCTACTGAGGAATTTTCATACCAATCCTTCTATAACCTCTTCGTTCATGTGCAATCAATGGGTGATCTCAGAGGAGAATCTAGCATTGAATATGAGGAATAGTAGATTTACCTTGCTACCTGTATGTCTATGTGTGTAATTTGGGTAATTTGGTTTGAACTTTAGTTTGAACTTTATGTTTGTTTTGCTTTTGAATTTTGCTTTTAGATCTCTGTATAGTTGAGACTGAGCATAGGATGTTTTTTTTCAGCGTTTTGAGTATTGTGCCTTAGATTGCCACGCTGAATTGATGTATCAAAGTTGAGAAAATACAAAACTTAGGTGTGCTGTGTAACATATATTGCAACCCTTGGAATTTATATATAATTGTGATGTTTTGTGTGTGATGTTTTGTGTTGTGATAGTACATCATTTAATCACTTAAAATTATGTCTATAATGATTGAACGGATGTCGTTGAGGCTTGAAATTGATCGAAATTGCAAAAATCCAGAAATGATCGAAATTGCAAAAATCAATTGGAAAACTCTAGAAATAGAACCAACTCAATAGAGCTCACCGACGGCGCCCTCGACGCCGTCGACGACGGACTTTCCCCTAGACTTAGGATATTAATCCAATAGAGCTCGCTGATGGCGTCGAAGACCCCGCCGACGGCGAGATCCCAAAAAAACACCTTTAATCGTGATTATGACTTGTCAACTGCCACTATTCATCATCCCCTTCCTCTAAAAAATAAAAATTTTAACCTAGGGCTTGAGAGATCTTGGATTTGGAGGCGATTTCAAGGCATTTAGACACCGGATTGGGTCATCTCTTGGTAAAAGCTTCAATCCAAACTAAAAATTTTTGATTTTCTCCATAAATGTTATGAATTCCTTGCACATTGAGGAGATCCGAAAAATTTGAAAATGTGAAGAAAATATTAGGGAGAAATTCATGGAACTTAGTTTTGAACTCTTAGAATCACTCTTCGAAGCCATTATTTGCATATTTGAAGTATATTTTAGAATTTTTCTATAATTTTGATTAGATTGAAAAGGCTCCAAGGCAAAAGAGGCGACTTGAGTTTGACGGGTCTCACTTCGTCAATGCAAAGGCTCAATCGAGGTTTACTTCAGTATTTGAAAGGAAGATATGTATACAAGATCGAGTTTTTGAGAGTTCGGGAGGAGAAATTGAACGAGTTATTACCGAGCGGAGGTGGGAAAAATTCAGTTACACCACCAGTAAGGTTGTTGCTAATATTGTAGAAGAGTTTTATGCCAACATGTTCTATTCTGAGGACGGAATCGTTCAAGTGTGGGGATTTTCTGTTGAATTTAGTGTCGCTTGCATTAACTCCTTTTATGAAGTCCCAAACTCCTATAGCTGCCATTATGAAACCTTCAGTACCGTGGAAGGCCCGCTGAATGATGTGATCAACTTTCTCACTGATGGGAAAGGAACATGGAAGATAAAGCAACGAGAACGTGTAAATTTTTCTGCTTCCATGTTGAATGTCACATCTAAAGTGTGACACTATTTTATTTCCTTTACTCTGTTATTGACCTATAACCATAGTGAGGTAACAAGAGATTGGGGGTTTAGAACGTAGACATGATTATGATAGTGAGTACCTACAGAGACATTCGGACTTTGAAATAGCTTACTACGAAGCTCAGGCCCGCCACTACAGAGGTGAGCCTGATGTTACTTTTCCTGAATGCCCCCGATATAATCAGTATCAGCCCAATCTACCTGCTGACCAAGGAGACGAAGTTATAGTTTGGGATTTTGACACTTGATAGTAATTGATGTACTTTTACTTTTATTTTTGTAATTTTTGTAATAAAAATAGATGTTTGTGTATTTGTACTTTCATTTTTATTTTTAGGTTGTAATTGGATAATTTTAATTAATATTTTAGTTGTTTGGTGTGGTAGTTGAAATTTGTTAATTTGTATTGTGATGCAATTTTTATTTTGCATTTTAATTATAATTGTTTTGTTTAGTATTGTGGATGTGTTAGCAAAATATTGTGTTTGTATAATGTTTAGTTTTGTACTTATTTCAAAATTTCATTACCTAACAAATTCTCTAATGATTTATATATATAGAAAGCTCCTAATGTTACAGACCAGGTGAAGTAGAAATTTTGAGAATGACTGCAAAAATTACAGAATGATGAAAATGCCTAAAATACTGAGGTATGATTTATATTTAGAATTTTTCTTTCCACCTGTATCATTTCATATTGAAAAATTTAAGTTTGGGGGAGGGAAGAAAAAGATTAACTATTAGATGTTCTCAATTTAAATATTTTCAAAAGTTATTAATATGATTTTATGTAGTGAATTTAATTCAGATAACTATATTTTGTAGATATTTTAATATTATGGTAGATTTAAGGGAATATTTTTGTAATGAAAATTAATTTTGTAGATTAAGATATTTAGTATAAGAGAATAAGACTATAGTTTAAAGTAGTAAAGAATCTGGAAACTATATTTTAAAATATTTTGTTTATATTATCTTTATCTTACAAGTATTTTAGTTAAGTAAATTAGTTGTTTATTTTATTTTCAATTATAAAAAATTACTAAATGAATCAAACTTTCATTTCTATTTTAGCATCTTAAGTTTAAGTAAGAACATATTGCTATGTAAAATTTTGTTATCTAAATCTAGTTCTCTCTGTAGGTTCAATATTCGGGACTTAATCAGAAATTTCTATATTACTTGATAACGATACGTATACTTGCGTCGTATCTCATATTGAAATATTATAATTGCATTCTTATTTGCTTCATAGTGAAAGATTTACCTAGATTTTGCTTTGAATCAAGTTTTTGGATTTGTCGCAAATTAAGAATAATTATTAAGAAAATTAATCATATAATCACATACATTGCATTTTACATCTATATATATAGAAAATCGGGATCAGATTCCTTTGTCTGACAAATTACAATTATTTTTTAAATGAATAAGAAATAAGAATTCCTTACTTGATTACTACATACTCTTATACCCTAGTTCTAACCTGAGTTATTGGAAATTTTTCTAAAGTTACACTATCTCATTTATGGGTAAAAATTATAGGAATCTTTAATGAAACCCACTATAACAAGTTAAAGCATACGGTTATATAGTACTAAAATTACTTGAGAACAAGTAATAGTGAAGTTTGAGAATTTTGACCAAAGGAAAATATGTTGAGATTTTCATACCTATTTTATACTATTTTTGATGATATTGCACTTTAAAGAAAGGTATTTTTGATGTTTTATTGTAGGTATGATGAATTATGGTCATTCGAACAAAAGGATACAAAAACGGTGCAATTTGGAGCAAAAACGTGCAAGAAATGAAATTTTTTCCTGTCACCTTTTGATAAGTCTTTCGATGCTTAATCTCTTTTACACTCCAGATCAATTAATTTAGAAGGCCCGCCGACGGCGCCCTTGAGGCCGCCAACGGTCAGATCGGCGATTATTTCAAAAGGTGCATTGAATGTGGATGATTTTTGGAGGTATGTTTAGGCAACTCTTTGGAAAACACTTCTACATCTTTAAAAGAAGATTTTGGCCAAAAATTGAGGGGGTTCCGAGAGAGAGTTTGAGGAGTTGGAAGGTTAGAACAGTGTCCAAGAGCCCCTGTAAAGTGTAGAGAGTTTACTTTAGGGTTTGATTGTGAGGAATTCTTCAAGAGATTGTAAGAGTGGAGGAAAAGTGAGAGATTTCTTCCTTCTTGCCGCTTCAAAGAAGAATTCTGTGTGCTGTAAGAAAAGGAAGAGATTCAGAGGAAATTTGAGGAGTTTGCTTGGGGAGGAATTAGAGATAAGTGTTATTTACTTCTTGTAGTTTGTATGACTTTGCTTTTATATATAAATTATGAGTTTTGTTGTGTCTTCCCCATGAGTTCTAAGTAGTTTTCTCTGTCTTTCTACTTATCTTGAGATTTGTGAAATGGTGATTTGAATTAGTTGAGCCTTGAAAAATGTTAAAGAAGTTGTGATGATATTTTCACTTCGATCTTAATTTA